CTTATTCAAAATCATACCCAATTGTCCAGTTGATTTGTTCTCTTGGGAAAGCTTAGTATTAATCTAAAACTCTGGGAAAGGAGGTATTGTAGCTTAATCTGCCGGGATACCAACTGTCCCTGTTATGACAGTGTTTATTGAAATATGATCTCTCACTCTCTGCTGGAACAATATAAAGTTTGAGCAGAAAGTTCCTTGGATGTGGGATTCATTTCCTGCACTCCAATACAAGGCCACACTGTGTTTTATAAATAAGGCCCTTTTGTTTTAAAATAAAGGAGGAAAGAATAGTGCCCATGGTGGAGCATTTGTTTCAAGGCAAGAATCCTTGGAAAGGTGATTTCACCATACAACAGCCCAATAAATCTAGTTGAGAAGCCAGACGGTTTCTTACAGATTTGTGCAGGACCTGAGGGCTATAAATGCTCTTGTAACTCTCATTGTCCCAATAGTACCTGATGTACCAATACTCATTTTCTCCATCCCACCTGATGTCGAGTTGTTTTTTTTTTTACAGTGATTGATTTGACAAATTTTTTTAGCAAATTCCTGTTAAGGAGACATGGCTAATTTTTGCCTTTAACTTTAGAAGTAAAAGTTTTATCTGGAGTGAATTTCTCCAGGATTATACTGTAGTCCTCCAGGCCCCAAGCCATGAACTCCTAGCCATGGTTTTAGTTGGTTTCAGTGCGGACAGCCAGCCAGGTGGAGTGTGTATCTTATATGTGATCATAAAGTGTCTAAGAAAAGTTATAATGGTGTTAAGAAACTGTTGAATACCTTGGTTTTGTCCTCACAAAAGGTGATAGGAAATTCAGTCACAAAGAGAGCTGTGGCTCTTATGGGTCTGCCCCGCCCATTGACCAAGAAAGACATGCTTACCTTTCTTGACATGATTGGTTGCTGCCGCCAATGGATACCTGACTGTTCCTACTATGACAGTATTTTGAGACAAACCACAGGTTCAGAAATGTCAGATCTTGAGAAATGGTTAATTGAAATGTGTAATGTTTTTGTGTATCTGAAATATGCTATGGTAATAGCCCCTGGTCTTGGTCTGCCCGCATATGATCAAATGTTTCATCTGTATGTTAGGGAAAATTGTAAAACTATGTCAGGAATCCTGGCTTGGGGAGCATGGAGGTACACTCCGCCCTTTTGTTTTGTTTTTTCTCAGAGATGGTTCTGGTACAGGTTCAAGGCATGCCTGTGTGTCTCAAAAGTTTGCTATTATTTGAGATGGTGATTCAAATGGCTATGTCATTTACTCTTGGACATGAGACCACCTTACACACCACCACTTAGTGAATATGAGGTTATACTGTTGTTAAACCCCAAGTTGAGAATAAAATATATTCCTCCCACTTTAGATCCTGCTCCGATTTTAAATGTCACTGTTAGATCAAATATTGCAGTACATTTGCTACTTCTAAAGATATTAAGTGGAATGTAGTTAGTGTGACCAAAGTTCCACTAATTGGACTTTGTGTCACAAGAGGGGAGACCATGTATTCTAGAAGCTAGTGCACCTCTGTTCATCTTACAGTATTATGGGATAGGTCACAGGGGATGGTAGGTTACATGTGAACTGCTGGATTTTTTTTCATCCCTGGCCCCCCTTTATGGTAAAATCATATGTGTCTAGATGCATTACATACATTAGGAATAGAGATGAGCGAAGTATTCAAAAATTCGATTCGACTGATTCGGCGAATTAGTGGAAAATATTCGATTCGAGTCGAATATATTCGCTGTGAATTTAACTTAAAAAAGGGTGTTTTCTAGGCTTCAGAGAGACTTAATATTAGTGCAGAACACTGTACCTTTAATTTAAATGCCCTTGGAGTCTGCTGGGGAAGAGAAATAATACTGTCAGTCAGTATGACATGCAGATGAGTGCCGTCGATCTTAGAATCACCGCACACTTCACTCATTTGGCCAGTCACGGGGCCAAAACCAGTGTTTGGAGCCACAGTGTGGCGGTGGAGGCAGCAGCAATGGGAGGCCCATACAGCAACCTATGACAAAATGGAAACCAGCAGGAGTGTGAGGAGACCTCAAAGTGGCACATGGCAGAGTGGGAGCAATGGGAGGCGGTACAGGGACCCATGTCACACTGTGGACCCAGCAGCAGCGTGACCAGGTGGTACGGGGGCCCATGGCAGATTTGGGGCCTGGCAGCACCTATGGGAGCCTGTAATCTGCCAGCAACCTATGACAAAATGGAAAACAGCAGCAGGAGTGTGAGGAGACCTCAAAGTGGCACATGGCAGAGTGGGAGCAATGGGAGGCGGTACAGGGACCCATGTCACACTGTGGACCCAGCAGCAGCAGCGTGACCAGGCGGTACGGGGGCCCATGGCAGATTACAGGCCTGGCAGCAGCAATGGGAGGCCCGTAATCTGTCAGCACCCTATGACAAAAAATGGAACACACCAGCAGTGTGTGAGGAGACCTGAAAGTGGCACATGGCAGAGTGTGGCGATGGAGACAGACAGCAGCAATGGGAGGCCGTACAGGGACCCATGAGAGACTCTGGACCTGGCAGCAGCATGAGGAGGCGTACAGGGGCCCATGGCAGATTAGGGGCCTGGCAGCAGCAATGGGAGGCCCGTAATCTGCCAGCACCCTATGACAAAAAATGGAACACACCAGCAGTGTGTGAGGAGACCTGAAAGTGGCACATGGCAGAGTGTGGCGATGGAGACAGCAGCAATGGGAGGCCGTACAGGGACCCATGACAGACTCTGGACCTGGCAGCAGCAGCATGAGGAGGCGGTACAGGGGCCCATGGCAGATTAGGGGCCTGGCAGCAGCTATGGGAGGCCCGTAATCTGCCAGCACCCTATGACAAAAAATGGAACACACCAGCAGTGTGAGGAGACCTGAAAGTGGCACATGGCAGAGTGTGGCGATGGAGACAGCAGCAATGGGAGGCCGTACAGGGACCCATGACAGACTCTGGACCTGGCAGCAGCATGAGGAGGCGGTATAGGGGCCCATGGCAGATTAGGGGCCTGGCAGCAGCTATGGGAGGCCCGTAATCTGCCAGCACCCTATGTCAAAAAATGAACACACCAGCAGTGTGAGGAGACCTGAAAGTGGCACATGGCAGAGTGTGGCGATGGAGACAGCAGCAATGGGAGGCCGTACAGGGACCCATGACAGACTCTGGACTTGGCAGCAGCATGAGGAGGCGGTATAGGGGCCCATGGCAGATTAGGGGCCTGGCAGCAGCTATGGGAGGCCCGTAATCTGCCAGCACCCTATGACAAAAAATGGAACACACCAGCAGTGTGAGGAGACCTGAAAGTGGCACATGTTTGGGGCATGATTCATGGCGGATTTAGTCAGTTGTGTCAGGAACTGGTGGTTTGAAAATCCAGACTAATCCACGCCTGATTCATTTTCACAAACGTGAGTCTCTCCACACTTTGGGTGGACAGTCGTGTCCTCCGCGGAGTTGCAATACCTCCTGCCGCACTAAACACGCGCTCCGATGCCACGCTACTGGCCGGGCATGACAGCCTTTCAAGGGCAAATTCAGCTAGTTGGGGCCAAAGGTCAAGTTTCATTGCCCAGTAGTCAAGGGGATTGTCTACCTCGGTTGGCAGGGTGCTGTCCAAGTAGGCCTAAGCCTGTTGTTTGAGGTCCTGCTCCAGGTCCACCTGATGCTGCTGCTGCTGCTGCTGCGGCTGGTTATTAGTTTCCTCACTGCGCTGGGTGAAGAAAGCTACTCATCATCGACTGCAGACTGAGGCAGCTGCTGCTGGTGAAGCTGCCACTGCTCCTACCACCCCACCCCTCCCCTGCTGCCATGGCAGCGTAACGCGAGCGCACAGGGCCCACAGTGTCTGAGGATGGACGTTGGCGCAGACAGGCAGAGACCAGCTGACTACATAGGTGGTTTTTATAGTACGTTATTTTGGCCTCCCTCTCAGCAGGTGTGAAAAAGGCCACCATTTTTGAACGGTAAGCGAGGGTCCAACAAGGTGGACAGCCAAAAGTCATCCCTCTGTCTGATGGTTATTATTCGGCTGTCGGTACGCAAGCAAGCGAGCATGCATGCTATGGGCCATTTGTGCCAAGGAATGCGAGGGACTCCCTGCCTCCATCTCCACAGCATACTGCCACGGTGCGTCTGGGTCCTCTGTCTCCTCTTCCTCCTCCTCTACCAGATGCTCCTGCTCCTCCACTCCTGTCCGCTGAGTGGAAAAACCACCCATTTCACTCAATAATTCCTGAGCACCAATGTCCTCCTCTACCTCCTCCTCTTCTTCCTGTCCTGCCCCCACAGGGGTCATGTGGCGTTGAGATCTGTGCGCCACGTCTACCGCACCCTGACCAGCCATTATTAACAGCATTTGTTCCAGGACGTGCAACAGAGGAATGACGTCGTTCATCCCATAGTCCTGCCGACTCACGAATAGCGTGGCCTCCTCAAAGGGCCTGAGCAAGCGCAGGTGTCACGCATGAGCTGCCAATGGCTGACATCTAAGTTACACAGGGAGTACCTTTATCCGCTTTTAACATCAGGAAATCTGTGATGGCCTTTTGCTGTTCGTAAAGGCGGTCTAACATATGTAGGGTTGAATTCCACCTTGTTGCAACGTCACAGCATGAGGAGTCGGTACGGGGGCCCATGGCAGATTACGGGCCTGGCAGCAGCAATGGGAGGCCCGTAATCTGCCAGCACCCTATGTCAAAAAATTCAACACACCAGCAGTGTGAGGAGACCTGAAAGTGGCACATGGCAGAGTGTGGCGATGGAGACAGCAGCAATGGGAGGCCGTACAGGGACCCATGAGAGACTCTGGACCTGGCAGCAGCATGAGGAGGCGGTATATAGGGGCCCATGGCAGATTAGGGGCCTGGCAGCAGCTATGGGAGGCCCGTAATCTGCCAGCACCCTATGTCAAAAAATGGAACACACCAGCAGTGTGTGAGAGACCTGAAAGTGGCACATGGCAGTTGATGAGGCATGATTCATGGCTGGCCCATGAGCAGACACCTGGCAGTCAGTTGGCGGGGGGCCAGGCAACTAGGTGCCTGGCAGCAATCTATGACCCGTAATCCCAGCACCTGATGTCAAAAAACGTGAGTCTCACCACACTGTGAGGAGACAGTGAAAGTCCGCACATGGCAAGTGTCCTGCCGCACTGGAGACACAGCTCCGATGCCACGCTACTGGCCGACCCATGACAGACTTTCAAGGGCAAATTCAGGCGGTAGTATGGGGCCCATGTCAATTTCGGGCCTGCAGCAGCATATGGTCCCGTAATCTCCAGCACCCTATGGCAGGGTGCTGTCCAAGTAGGCCCAAGCCTGTGTGAGGAGACCTGCTCCAGGTCCACCTGAGAGCTGCTGCTGCTCAGCAGCATGATGGGGTTAGTAGCCTCACAGCGCCCATGGTGAAGAAAGCTACTCATCATCGACACAGACTGAGGCAGCCGCTGCTGGTGGAGCTGCCACTGCTCCTACCACCACCCCCCCCCTCCCCTGCTGCCATGGGCCTGCAGCGGAACCTGCCAGCGAGCGCACAGGGCCACACAGTGTCTGAGGATGGAACGTTGGCACATGCACAAAGGCAGAGACCAACTGACTACATAGGTGGTTTTTTATAGTACGTTATTTTGGCCTCAGCATCTCAGGAGGTGTGAAAAAGGCCCCATGGAAGGTAGCGAGGGCCAAGCAAGGTGGGAGCCCGTAAGTCATGCCAGCACCCTGATGTTATTCGGCTGTCGCTACGCAAGCACCAGCATGTATGGGACCTGAAAGTGCCAAGGAATGCGAGGAGACTCCCCTGCCTCCACTCCATGAGAGCATACTGCCACGGTGCGTCTGGGTCCTCTGTCTCCTCCTGGCATCCTCTACCAGATGCTCCTGCTCCAGCACCACTCCTGTCCGCTGAGTGGAAAAACCACCCCCATTTCACTCAATAATTCCTGAGCACAAATGTCCTCCTCTACCTCCTCCTCTCTTCTTCCTGTCCTGCCCCCACAGGGGTCATGTGGCGTTGAGATCTGTGCGCCACGTCTACCGCACCCTGACCAGCCATTGTTAACAGCATTTGTTTCAAGGACCTGCAACAGAGGAATGACGTCGTTCATCCCATAGTCCTGCCGACCACGAATAGCGTGCCTCCCCTCAAAGGGCCTGAGCAAGCGCAGTGTGTGAGGAGGTGTCACGCATGAGCTGCCAATGGCTGACATCTAAGTTACACATGGGAGTACCTTTATCCGCTTGGACCTGGCAGGAAATCGTGATGGCCTTTCGCTGCTCGTAAAGGCGGTCTAACATATGTAGGGTTGAATTCCACCTTGTTGCAACGTCGCAGATCAGGCGATGAAAGTGGAATTCCATTCTGTGGCGCTGCAGAACAGCTCAAGGAGGGTGTGCTTTGCGGTGTAGGAATGGCTGAAATGCATGCAAAGTTTACGTGACATTTTAAGGATGTCTTGCAGTGGATGGTGGATTTTTAGCCGCTTGACAACCAGATTGAACACGTGAGCCATGCATGGCGCATGGCACAACCTTCCTTGCCGCAGAGCAGACACCCAAATGTTCACACCAGCAGTTGTCGGTCCTGAAACATGGTTGATTTTCAGTTGCGCGGAGACAGCAGCAATTTCTCTGGCCATTACAGACTCTGAAGTTCCTCCCCTGTGAGAGACTACTTCGCCTGGACCTGGCAGCAGCATGAGGAGGCGGTATAGGGGCCCATGGCAGATTAGGGGCCTGGCAGCAGCTATAGGAGGCCCGTAATCTGCCAGCACCCTATGTCAAAAAATTCAACACACCAGCAGTGTGAGGAGACCTGAAAGTGGCACATGGCAGAGTGTGGCGATGGAGATGACAGCAGCAATGGGAGGCCGTACAGGGACCCATGAGAGACTCTGGACCCTGGGCAGCAGCATGAGGAGGCGGTATATAGGGGCCCATGGCAGATTAGGGGCCTGGCAGCAGCTATGGGAGGCCCGTAATCTGCCAGCACCCTATGACAAAAAATGGAACACACCAGCAGATGTGTGAGGAGACCTGAAAGTGGCACATGGCAGAGTGTGGCGATGGAGACAGCAGCAATGGGAGGCCGTACAGGGACCCATGACAGACTCTGGACTTGGCAGCAGCATGAGGAGGCGGTATAGGGGGCCCATGGCAGATTAGGGGCCTGGCAGCAGCTATGGGAGGCCCGTAATCTGCCAGCACCCTATGTCAAAAAATTCAACACACCAGCAGTGTGTGAGGAGACCTGAAAGTGGCACATGGCAGAGTGTGGCGATGGAGACAGCAGCAATGGGAGGCCGTACAGGGACCCATGAGAGACTCTGGACTTGGCAGCAGCATGAGGAGGCGGTATATAGGGGCCCATGGCAGATTAGGGGCCTGGCAGCAGCTATGGGAGGCCCGTAATCTGCCAGCACCCTATGACAAAAAATGGAACACACCAGCAGTGTGAGGAGACCTGAAAGTGGCACATGGCAGAGTGTGGCGATGGAGACAGCAGCAATGGAGAGGCCGTACAGGGACCCATGACAGACTCTGGACCTGGCAGCAGCATGAGGAGGCGTATATAGGGGCCATGGCAGATTAGGGGCCTGGCAGCAGCTATGGGAGGCCCGTAATCTGCCAGCACCCTATGTCAAAAAATTCAACACACCAGCAGTGTGTGAGGAGACCTGAAAGTGGCACATGGCAGAGTGTGGCGATGGAGACAGCAGCAATGGGAGGCCGTACAGGGACCCATGAGAGACTCTGGACTTGGCAGCAGCATGAGGAGGCGGTATATAGGGGCCCATGGCAGATTAGGGGCCTGGCAGCAGCTATGGGAGGCCCGTAATCTGCCAGCACCCTATGACAAAAAAATGAACACACCAGCAGTGTGAGGAGACCTGAAAGTGGCACATGGCAGAGTGTGGCGATAAGAGACAGCAGCAATGGGAGGCCGTACAGGGACCCATGACAGACTCTGGACCTGGCAGCAGCATGAGGAGGCGGTATATAGGGCCCATGGCAGATTAGGGGCCTGGCAGCAGCTATGGGAGGCCCGTAATCTGCCAGCACCCTATGTCAAAAAATTCAACACACCAGCAGTGTGTGAGGAGACCTGAAAGTGGCACATGGCAGAGTGTGGCGATGGAGACAACCCACCGACTGTTTTGCTCGCTGCCAAACTGCCACCCTCTTCTCCTGATGATGCGGAAGCAATAGCCTGTGACGACGAGGCTGCCAAGTGCGATCAGCCTCATCATCATCAATTAGGGTCTCCGCCTCAACTACTAGCCCCCTCTCGGTAAAAAAATGCGTGTGGGTCAGGAGACAGACCTGTCTCTAGACCGGCTACCGAGCCACTCTCCTCGCCACTAACTTCTTCTGCCTGGCTGCTGAAGAGGCGGATGTCTCCCCCCGTTCCTGACCAGCCCTCTGTTAGCTCTTCCTCACTGTACTGGATGACACCGGGAGCACTAGCCTCTGGCTGCGAATAGTGCTGCCTCGACCCCTTCCTCTGCTGCCACGTCTGCTCGCTCCTCAAACATTGCCTCCTCTGCCACTCCTCTGCATGTTGTCTGACATACTCTTTAATTCTGTTCTGTGTCCCTGAGTAACAATTCTGTGTCCCTGAGTAACAGTTTTCTGTGGCCCTCAGTAACAGTTCTGTGGCCCTCAGTAACAGTTCTGTGTAACAATTCTGTGTCTCAGTAACAGTTCTGTGGCCCTCAGTAACAATTCTGTGTCCCTCAGTAACAATTCTGTGTCCCCTCAGTAACAATTCTGTGTCCCTCAGTAACATTTCTGTGGCCCTGGCAGTAACATTTCTCTGTGGCCCTCAGTAACATTTCTGTGCCCTCAGTAACAATTCTGTGGCCCTCAGTAACAATTCTGTGCTGTCCCTGAGTAACAATTCTGTGTCTGTCCCTGAGTAACAATTCTGTGTCCCTCAGTAACAATTCTGTGTCCCTCAGTAACAATTCTGTGTCCCCTCAGTAACAATTCTGTGTCCCTCAGTAACAATTCTGTGTCTGTCCCTGAGTAACAATTCTGTGGCCCTAAGTAACAATTCTGTGGCCCTCAGTAACAATTCTGTGTCCCTCAGTAACAATTCTGTGTCCCTAAGTAACAATTTCTGTGGCCCTCAGTAACAATTCTGTGTCCCTGAGTAACATTCTGTGTCCCTAAGTAACAATTCTGTGGCCCTAAGTAACAATTCTGTGGCCCTCAGTAACAATTCTGTGTCCCTCAGTAACAATTCTGTGTCCCTCAGTAACAATTCTGTGTCCCTCAGTAACAATTCTGTCCCTAAGATTAACAATTCTGTGTCCCTCAGTAACAATTCTGTGTCCCTCAGTAACAATTCTGTGTCCCTCAGTAACAATTCTGTGTCTGTCCCTGAGTAACAATTCTGTGGTCCCTAAGTAACAATTCTGTGGCCCTAAGTAACAATTCTGTGTGGCCCTAAGTAACATTTCTGTGGCCCTCAGTAACATTTCTGTGGCCCTCAGTAACAATTCTGTGTCCCTGCGAGTAACAATTCTGTGTCTGTCCCTGAGTAACAATTCTGTGGCCCTAAGTAACAATTCTGTGTCCCCTGAGTAACAATTCTGTGGCCCTAAGTAACGTTTCTGTGGCCCTAAGTAACAATTTCTGTGGCCCTCAGTAACAATTCTGTGTCTGTCCCTGAGTAACAATTCTGTGGCCCTGAGTAACAATTTCTGTGGCCCTAAGTAACAGTTCTGTTGGCCCTCAGTAACAATTCTGTGTCCCTCAGTAACGTTTCTGTGGCCCTCCGAGTAACAATTCTGTGGCCCTCAGTAACAATTCTGTCTCCCTCAGTAACAATTCTGTGTCCTCAGTAACAATTCTGTGGCCCTCAGTAACAATTCTGTGGCCCTCAGTAACAATTCTGTGGCCCCTGAGTAACAATTCTGTGGCCTCAGTAACAATTCTGTGTTCTGTGTTCTGTTGTCCCTGAGTAACAATTCTGTCTAAGTCCCTGAGTAACAATTCTGTGGCCCTAAGTAACAGTTCTGTGGCCCTCAGTAACAATTCTGTGTCCCTCAGTAACAATTCTGTGTCTGTCCCTGAGTAACATTTCTGTGGCCCGTAACAACGTTTCTGTGGCCCTCTAGTAACAATTCTGTGGCCCTCAGTAACAATTCTGTGGCCCTGAGTAACGTTTTCTGTGGCCCTCAGTAACAATTCTGTGTCCCTCATAACCAAATTCTGTGTCTGTCCCTGAGTAACAATTCTGTTGGCCCTAAGTAACAATTCTGACTGTGGCCCTCAGTAACAATTCTGTGTCCCTCAGTAACAATTCTGTGTCTGTCCCTGAGTAACAATTCTGTGTGGCCCTAAAGTAACAATTTCTGTGTCCTAAGTAACCGATTCTGTGGCCCTAAGTGTTTCTGTGGCCCTAAGTATCTAAGTAACAATTCTGTCTGTCCCTGAAGGAACCGTCGTTCTGTGGCCCTACAGTAACAATTTCTGTGGCCCTCAGTAACAAATTCTGCAGTAACAAGTTTCTGTGATCCCTCTAATAACATTTCGGTGTCTGTCCCTAAGTAACAATTAATCTGGCACTCAGTAACAATTCTGTCTGTCCTTCCAGCGTGGGTAGACAATTCTCTGGCAGACTCAGGTAACGAATTCTGTCTGTCCCTGAGTAACAATATTCTCTGGAACTCAGTAGACAATTCTGTCTGTCCCTGAGTAAAAATTCTTGGCCCTAAGTAACGGTTCGTGGCCCCAGTAACTTTCGGGCCCCCTGGTAACAATTCTGGGGCCCAAAAAGTAACGGTTTCGTGGCCCTCATAAAAATTCTGTCCCTGATTAACTTTTTTTCCCTCGAAACAATCTGTGCCCCCTCAGTAAAAATTCTGTTCCCTATAAAATTCGTCCCCCTAGAAACTTTGTGTCCCTCATAACAATTCTGTGTCCCCAAACAATTTGTGGCCCAAGAAAACGGTTTGGGGCCCAGTAACAATTCGTGTCCCTAGTAACTTCTGTGCCCTAAGTAACGGTTGGGGCCCCTTCAGTAAAAATTCTGTGT